AAAACTTCATCAGAGTTGTTCAGTCAGAAGTCAGCAAAAACACAACCAAAATCTGAACCTGTGCTTTCAGACTGTGGCCAGCACTTAAAGTTAGATTTTTTTTCTTTATGATCTATATTCAACTTCTTCATAGAGTACAATAGAAAAAAATCAATTCTGCCCATAAAAAGGGATTTATGCAAGTAAAATGGTATTCACTATATTTCCAAGACCTCCCCACAAGAGGATGATATTGTAAGGAAAATAAAAGTCTCTGAAATCATCTTTCAAGGTATGTAGTCCTAACCAGGCACCAGTTTCTCACACCAGCTACTCACAAGACTAACATCTGCGGATTGTGGTTCAAAGCCAGCCTGGGCAGGAAAAGTCTGTGAGACTCTTATCTCCAATTAACTACCAGAAAACCAGAAGTGGCTTTGGCTCAAAGCGGTAGAGCGCTAGACTTGAGCAAAAAAGCTTAGGGACAGAGCCCAGGCCCTGAGTTCAAGCGTCACAACTGACAAAAAAAAATATGTAGCCCTTAAAATAATATTCAACTACAGACGTTAGCATGTTCTTTCTTAAATTGGAAAATAACTTCTCTTTCCACTTAACATTGTAATTCTCCCCTTATTTTGTACTAGTAACATACCAATAACATGGTAAGAAAATGAGTTTCAGGAAGACAAGAAATACAGGCATCCAATCAAGCCACAAAGAATTTGTGAGGTAATAATGACTTACACCTAACGACGTTCACTCCAGCAACATGGTGTGGTAAGCTTAGAGCACAGGTCACATGGTTGCTCTTTAGGAAGGAAATGACTCACACAAGCTTTCACTAAACTATCTTCTCAACCCAGAGGCCTCTCAGTTAACAGAACTTGGGCTGATTCCCAAATCACAAGCCCACAATGACCATCTGGAGTTTTGGGATCTATCAACTGATACCAACTGTTGATGACCCCAATAAGCAAATTATTACCTTCCACAACCACAGTTTCTTTACACTTCTTTTTTTAATCTGGATGGATAGACTTAACAATCATCCAATTGTTTTAAGACAAAAACCTTGAATCCTCCTCCACCACCTCCAATCAACTATTATGTTTGGGTTTTGTCTTGTGGCGTCCTGGGGCTTGAACTCAGGGACTGCGTGGTATCCCTCAGGTTTTTTTTTTTCTTTAGTCCAGCACTCTACCACTTGAGCCATAGCTCCACTTCTGGCCTTTTTCTCGGTAGTTTTTTGGAGCTGAGTCTTACAGACTTTACTGCGTGGGCTGGTTTTGAACCACAATCCTCACATCTGAGTCCCCTGAATTGCTAGGATTACAGGCATGAGCCGCCAGCACCCAGCACAAGTTTTTAAGCCACTACCATAACACAACTTTACCAGCCTCCTATAAGGTGGCAACTAAAAACAGCTAACATGTCCTGAACACTTACTTTGTGCCAAACACTGTTCTAAATTTGGGATCTGAATGAATTTAATCTACACAACAATTTGAAGTTAGTATGACTCTTGTGGCAGCAGATAATGAAAATTTTATTAGTATTTTTCTTTCATTAACAAGGTCTTGACCTTGTACTAAATCCTCTTCTGTGTCTTTGCTTTTTTCTTCTCTCCTTGAAAGATCTTTTTAACCTTGGCTCCTAGCTTCAAAGTCAGTGCAATGATGTTCTCTTTAAGGACTTCTGATGCCCCCTGCTGGTACACTTCCCTATAAATCGGTATTTCTCAAGCTTGGATGACTGCTCCAAAAACTTCATGCCTAAATTCCACCCTTAGAGATTCTTATGTTATTTCTCTGGGATCCTGGTAGGACATGGAGATATTCTAAAGCTTCCCAGGTAACTCTAACATGAAGTCAAGGTTGAGATTCACTGCACTGAAATGCTTTTATTACATCTGTGCCAATAACCTCATGTGAACTTCTGAAACAAGTTTCACATTCTCCTAGGTTAAAAAGAAAAAAAAAAAAAAACCCTATAGGTTCCTAGACCTCATCTAAGAAAGGGTAATAAAAGATGTGCACAAGGCCTTGTGGACTATTTGTGGCCTTAAAGAATTCTGATGCAGGGGCTGGGAAGGTGGCTCAGTGGTAGAGCACTTGCCTTGCATGCATGAGGCCCTGGGTTCCATTCCTCAGCACCATATAAGAAAAAAGAAAAAAGCTGGAAGTGGCGCTGTGGCTCAAGTGGTAGAATGCTAGCCTTGAGCTGAAGAGCTGAGGGACAGCGCCCAGGCCCAGAGTTCAGGCCCCACGACTGGACCCAAAATAAAACAAAATAAAATAAGAATTCTGATGCATAGGCAGATTGGTGAAGTACCTTCTAAACAAAAACCTAGACATTTCACTTGTACTCAGTAAGGCCCAGCATAATGCCTGGCACACAGTTGAAGAGTAATAAGTAAAATGAGTAAAATCTAATCACTTGCATCTGGGGTGGAGTAGGACTGGGTATATGTATTCAATATTCAAACTTCTAGTAGCAGCACAGAAGTTGCCTCCTACAACAGAAAGCAAATACTGGGAAACTTTTCAAATGTTTTTTTAATCCACAAATGCCCCCTACTGGCCTCAGGATGAATAGCTAAATCAAAACTTATAATTAAAATATTCTAATTAGATATGCATATAATTAGCTACATACATTGTACTTTTCCACCAACATTTACACTATCGATTCCTTTGCCCTCTGGGCCTAGTTGCACCAAGCTGTTAATTCCAAAGCTAGATTAATTCTACCATTTACTCTGTCTCCACTCAGAAGAGACGTGTGGTAGCAGTGCTCTCGGGCCTTTTTATTCTTCTTCTATTTTTCTTATTTTTCTGTCATGAATCCTACCACAATCATAAAATCATCCACATCAAAAACACAAGAACTTCTAGGAGGGTAAGAGGAGAGCACAGAAATGGAGTGGCAAAGGGTAAACAAATACAGCAGTGATACTAGACACTATGTTGAAAATAAAGTATACAACATGTACTTGGGGACAGGAGGGAAAAACTGGAAGAGAATGAGAGAAGGGGTTGACACTGTCCAAAAATAAATCTTTTTTTTTTTTTTGCCAGTTGTGGGGCCTGAACTCTGGGCCTGGGCACTGTCCCTCAGCTCTTCAGCTCAAGGCTAGCGCTCTACCACTTGAGCCACAGTGCCATTTCTGGCCTTTTCTGCTTATGTGGTGCTGAGGAATCAAAATCAGGGCCTCATGCATGCAAGGCAAGCACTCTACCACTGAGCCACCTTCCCAGCCCCAAGAAATCTATTCTTTACCTGACTTATGTAACTGTAACCCCTCTGTATATAACCTATATAAAAAATTAAAATAGGGCTAGGAAGATGGCTCAATGGTAGAGTGCTTGCCTTGCATGCATCAGGCCCTGGGGTTCAATTCCTCAGCACCACATAAGCAGAAAAAGCCGGAAGTGCACTGTGGCTCAAGTAGTAGAGTGCTAGCCTTCAGCCAAAGAGCTGAGGGACAGCGCCCAGTCCCAGAGTTCAGGCCCCACGACCAACCAAAAAATAAAAAATAAAAACAACCACAACAAACATCCATTACTTCTTTGACTCAAGTCTTGACTAGTCAAATTATGATAGGGAACAGGCAGCATCTTACCATATGGAAACTCACTGAAAAAGAAAAAATCTGAGGCACCATTTCCAGACCTGCTCAGTTGTTATTTGGATTTTAACAAGAGTCATATAAACATTAATATTTGACAGGCTGAAAATCACCATTATATAACAAACATCTAATGCTACTTTTGCTATTTTGAAATAAAATGTATCATTCATTCACTAATAAATACACACTTAAATCCTGAAAAAAAGATACCAGCAGACTGATTTGATGGTAATAAAAGGAAAGATTTATAAGACCTCTATTTCAGCTGTGCACTGGCTCATACCTGTACTCCTAGCTATTCAGGAGGCTGAGTTATAAGGATCACAGTTCTAAGCCAGCCTGGGCAGGAAAGAGATTCTGTGAGATTCTTATTTCCAATTAACCACAAAAAGCCGGAAGTGGAGCTGTAGGATAGCGACCTGGCCCAGAGCTCAAGCCCCAGGACCAGAAAAAAAAAGAATTATTCTTCAGTATAATACATGGCTCATGTAATACATGCTCAACACAACTAAATTAAAGACAAAAAACCAGCCAAGGAGTTTCCAAAATATACTCTAAAGGCGGTGATTCCATTCAACTGAGAACCACTAAACTCTAACCATTCCCATACTTCTTTCCATCTCACAAAAAGGAGTTTCTCTCACCTTAGGAAGTTCCTTTCAATAGCCCAGCGCCAGTGGCTCACCCCTGTAATCCTAGCTACTTAGGAGGTTGAGATCTGAGGATCTCGGTTTGAAACCAGCCCAGGCAGAAAACTCCCTATGAGACTCTTACCTCCAATAAACTACTCAAAAACCAGAAGTGGTGCTGTGGCTCAAGTGGGTAGAGTGCTAGCCTTGAGCACAAAGAGGCTCAGAGATAGCACCCAGGCCCTGAATGCAAGCCCCACAACAACAACAAACAAAAAACAACAACAAAACTACATTCCTCCCTAGACGTCAACATAGCCAAATACTGTATATTCCAACGAACACAAAACAACTCTAGAATCTTCATCTACCATTTCCTTCTCATTGCCATCTTCTCTTTCCTTCCCTAGCCAGTAAACTGTGGGTCCATTTACTTATGTTACTCCTCAATCTATGCTTATCTTTCATTCCAAACAATAAACCTATATATATAAGAGTTATGAGTGCTTTCTGAAGTGCACAAATCAATGAACACTTGCCCACACTCATCTAATTTATCTCACAGACAAGGACAATTAGTTTCAGATCTACTCTGTAGACTACACCTCTTCCTTCCTAAAAGAACCACGTGGTGTTCATGAATTTCAAGTGATTAAGGTAAAGTACTGGTGTTTGGCTTAAGCCAATCAGAGAACGGCTTTCTCCAGTCACTTGCTATTGGATCAGGGGCAGACACTTAAGCCAAGGTGGTCCAATCAGACCTGAAGGAAGAACATAGTCCAAGCATTGGAGTTTTGTCCTCTCTCCTCTTGCTCTAGTGAATGAAAAAAGTGCATGTTACTAACAGTCATCTCGTAACCATAAGGAAAACCAATATTACTGTGGAAAGCCAAGAGACCAGTCCCTGATGGCACTGTTGATCACTGAATCAATAAGCCCAGGGTCTGTCCTTCTTCTGGACTTTGTGAGATAATTTTCCTTACTATTGAAACAACTAAGTTTCCTCTGCTGAAAGCATCCTAACATGATCGATCTTATAACTTTTCCTCCGTTAGTTTTCTTCTTATAACTTTTCCTCCTTTAGTTTTCTTCCCCTCCTTTCTCTCCTCCAATCACAGTGCTGAGGACTAATTCTAATACTGATCTCATTACAGGAGCTTTAAAAAAAATTCTTTCTTTTTTTGGTTGGTTGTGGGGCTTGAACTTATGGCCTGGGCACTGTCCCTGAGCCTTTTTGTGCTCAAGGCTAGTGTTCTACCACTTGAGCCACAGTGCCAATTCCAGTTTTTGAATGGTTAATTGGAAATAAGAGTCTCACAGGGACTTTTCTGTCTGGGCTGGCTTCAAATTGAGATCCTCAGATCTCAGCCTCCTGAGTAGCTAGGATTACTTGCAGGCATGAGCCACTGGTGCCCGGCTAAATTTTTCTTTTTAAAAAACTTTTCTAAGCATCTACCTCTCAAGAGTTCCCCCATTCCTGGTCTCCCCTCCTCCTTCACTTACTCCTTACACTTTAGTGTCCTCTAAGGTTTGTTGTGATCTTTTCCTATTCAAAATACATATTCAGCAGGCATGACTTTAGGTTTCCCTTAATGGATCAAACTAAGATACAAACACTTCCTGAAATCAAGGACCGCTGTTGATGTTTACACCCCTAGGCTTACTCAGCTGACTTATTCATACCTATCTTTCAAAATTAAATTGAAATGTTCCTTCTGTGAAGCCTCCTCTAAAGTCCTCAGGGATTTCTTGCCTTTTTAGTCAATCAGAATACTTCTAATTGCATAAAACAATTGTATTAAATTATATATGATTTTTTTAAACCCAAGCTTCTGATACAGGATATATGCTTCTTTATTAGTCTATCAAATTTTTAAAAATCTGCCAGGCACTGAAGGCTCACATCACCTATAAGCCTAGCGACTCAAGAGGCTAAGATCTGAGGATTGTAGTTTGAAGCTAGGCAGGGAAGACAAGTCCAAGAGATTCCTATCTCCCAATAACCAGCAAAAAGCTAGAAGCAGAGATGTGGCTCATGTGGTAGAGTGCCAGCCTTGAACTAAAAAATCCAAGCAAGTGCAGGCCCTGAGTTCAAGCTCTAGTACTAGCAAAAACAGTAAACCCTAAGAACCTCTATAATTTCGAAGCAGCGATGAGTATAAACGGTATTTTGAGATCTGCAACAACTGTAATGTGATGGGAAAATGTCTGCTTTGAATTGGTGCTGTGATTTTTATCAGTGGCAAGTACTGCTAATATGACTGGGGTTTCTTGCTGTAGCATCATGTTCAATCAATGGCCCCCAATCAACCACTCTTCCTTGTATTTATGCCCTTTTATAGTCCCCTACCATAGCAACTCTGGATGTGGCTTATCATCAACAAATAGGATGCAGATAAATGGGCATGGAGTTCTGCCTTCCTAGAATCCAGTAACCATGTGAAACCAAACTAGACACATGGTGGAACACAATGCTCCCTAGAAGGAGTAAGAGCACTGTTCAGCCAAGCAGCTAGTTTAATTAAGCCACTATGGTAACACTAATATAACTCCCAATATAACTGCCCAGCCAGCTAACAGACTGTACGAGACATTACTGTTTGAAGGTTTTCAGTGGTTCATTTTAGTTATTGGTAGATAACTCAAAACCATTGCCCACATTGTTAAATGAAGGAAATGCTGAATTTCAGCTGGTAATTGGCTAAAATAGTTTTTAATGCCCTAGAAACCTCCTGGGCTCTAATTAGAGCCTTTGAAGGATCGAGGATCTCCTTTTTACTACAAAACTACATTATTGGTATCCATGTAACTGAAACAGGCCACAATATATGCCTTCCCCAGGGTAACCCTAAAACCGAGCTGCACGGTTAGCATGAATTGGTGTTTAACACAAATATCAAACGAATGGTAAGTTGCTTATGGTATCTGTATTGATGACTAAAGAGTTAGCTGACTTAAAAGTAAAAACTGACAACATACCAGGGCCTTTTCTGATGGCTTTACATAAACTAACTTACTTGTAAAAACACTGTGGCATGGAGGTTATTACCCTAATTTCACCAATAGTAAAACAGGCAGAGGGCAAATGACTTAAACAAGACTACATGACTACAAAGTGGCAATACCAGAAATGGACAGCCACAATCCGATTCTGTAGCATTTCCTAATGCGCCCAAAACCATATTGAAGCTCGGTGGAATTTTAAATGAGAAAGGTACAATTTGGGGACTTTATTAGCACTAGGATACCATGGTTTTTTGAAAGACTCAAATAATCCTCTTTCAAAGGAGACGAATTAAAAAAAAAAAAAAAAAAAGACAAAAACCTAAACGAGGAAGTGGAGCTGTGACTCAAAGTCGTAGAGTGCTAGCCTGGAATGGGGGAAAAAAAAAAGCTCAGGGACAGCACCCAGGCCCTGAGTTCAAGCCCTAAGGGAGTCGACTTGTTCATATTAGTAAAGTTCACTGGCAAGCAAAGTAAGACTCCAGCCATTTCCAGACCAGCGCCCCTCAAAGCCTGCAGCAGCTCCTCCAAAGATGACCCCCCCACACACACATTCCAGGTTAGAAACCAGACCCTGCCAAGCAACCAAAGCTGACCTAACCCTACCCATGATCCCTAAGGGCAAGCCAGGGGCGGGGGTGGGGGGTCTGTGGAGGGAAGTACTTGAAGTTTTCCAAGAGTTTTATTCACAAAAGCACGGCCCCCCAAAACACCTATCCCATCCACCCCGGGCGGTCACGCCTCCACCAGGCAGCCACTCGCCCAAAACCGACTCTTGACTGAACCACGGGGCCAGGACGCCGCCGACCCGGAGGCGGGAACAGCCTTGCGGCGAGCCGGACCTGGTCCCCACAGAAGCCCCACGAGGGCGTAGGACGGACTTCAGACAGCCGGGAGGGGGCGATGACAGCAGTAACCCCGTTCCACGTTCTCACCTTGAACATGTCGCTGGCAGCGGCGGCTCCGGCAGGGTCACCCCGGCCTCGGCCCCGCCTACTATAGAAAAGCGACTACGGAGGCCCGGTAGGGCCGTGATTCCCTCGACCGCAAGCGGGCTGAGGTGTTTGTGACGGCAGTACTGCCAGTTCAATTCAATGAAGAATTTCTTCAAACCAAGTAGGCTGAAAGCAGCGTCGCGCAGCAGCAATTTGTCGCGTCCAGGTGGCCAGGCGTTCGGAAGACCCGCCCTCCAGGAAGCTTCAACTCCTCTCTCGCTGGCTGTTGCTAGGCAACACAAAGCGTCCGTTCTACGCGGGCGGCGCGCAGAGACAAGGGGAGGGAGGTGCGCAGCGGCTCTGGGGCTTGGCCTTCGATGCCAGTCCTATTGGACGCCCAGTGGCGTGGGCTGGGACTCCGGGGCGCCTAAATCGACCCGGCAAGGGCGCTTGGGTGATCCCGGAAGGCTTTGGAAGGCCTCTTAGAGTCCACGCTCTGAGCGTTAGGATTGACCTCACAAAGGGTCGTTTCATTTTGGCTGCAGACTGAGTATTTCTTGAATTTCAATTTGCCACGTCCTTTAGCCGTGAAAGGCTCTTGACAAGATTTTTTTCTTCACTTGTAAGTCCTTCACTAGGAATCACTTATTGGTTAATATGGTATAAGAATGGCAATTAATAGCTATTAACTAGAATAAAAATCACTAATATGACTGGGAGCCGCTAGTTCACGCCTGAAATCCTAGCTACTCAGGAGGCTGAGATCTAAGGATCACGGTTCAAAGCCAGCCCATGAATAAAACTCCGAGAGACACTTATTAACCAAAAGTTACAGTAGTGGAGCTGTGGCTCAAGAGATAGAGCACTAGCCTTGAGCAAAAAGCTCAGGGACAGTGCCCAGGCCTTGAGTTCAAGCCCCAAGACAGGCACACACACAAAAAAATCACTTATATGAAGTCAGAAGCCAGGATTCAAACCCTTTGCAATCTGTGCTGTAGCCTAAAATATTCCTGGGCTGTCTCATAAGAACAGTGTATTTCATATTCCAGTCTATTTCTATAATAATCTTATAGAAGGGCTGGGAAGGTAGCTCAGCCGTAGAGTGCATGCCTTGCAAGCATGAGGCCCTAGGTTCGATTCCTCAGCACCACATAAACAGAAAAAGCTGGAAGTGGCGCTGTGGCTCCAGTGGTAGAGCGCTAGCCTTGAGCTGAAGAGCTGAGGGACAGTGCCCAGACCCAGAGTTCAGGCCCCATGACTGGCAAAAAAAAAAAAAAAATCTTATAGAAAATGGAAGCTCAATCTAGACAGGTACCCAGACCAGACCAGTAGAGGGCTTGGAATGCGGCTTAGTGATAGAGTGCTTGCCTAGCATGCATGAAGCCCTGGGTTCGATTCCTCAGTACAATGTACACAGAAAAAGCTGGAAGTGGTGCTGTGGCTCAAGTGGTAGAGTGCTAACCTTGAGCAAAAGAAGTTCAGGGACAGTGCCCAAGCCCTAAGTTCAAGTTCAAGCCCCAGGACTGGCAAAAAACAAAAACAAAAACAAAAAACGTCCAGTAGGAACACATTTGTCCCTGAAGAGGTTGAGTTTCTTTTTTTTTCTTCTTCCTGTGTTCTTTTTTTTTTTTTTTTTTTTTTGTGAAAAGAAGAGGTTGAGTTTCTTACTAGGAAAAAACATGCACATTTCAAGGAAACTAGGGCATTTTAGCAAGAGTATTATATTTGTCATAGTATATGGGAGTGAATTCAAGGAAGCAGAACTTTGCTGTGATGTTAGAAGTATGAGCTGTAGTAGGAAGTGGAAACACTAAGACCTAGCTAAGTGCCAAGCCAAATCCCAGGTGTCAATTAAGGGCTGTTTTTCTAGTTCCTAGGAGAATTGTATTTTCCAAGCCATCCCTTTCCCCATCCCAATCCCTATCTCCATCCCCATTCCCAAGGAGAAACAGCAGTCTTAGAAGGCCTCACATCAGACATATAAACGTGGGAAGCTCAGTGCTAAATTTGAGCAGGAGCACTTATACTTACAGGGGTAAACTCAGATGGGAGGAAAATGACAATTTCATTTTCACTAACCTCTAACTGAATATTAGCATTTCTTTTGATTATAGTGTAGGCAACAAACCACAGTAACATTAGCAGTACCTGTGACTTTGTCACCAATTGAAAGCAGAGGTGTTTTTCATGCCGTGTTAGTTATAAGAGGTAGTTCAAAATACCATTTGTGGTCATGACTACTTCAAAAATACAGGATGTATTAGCTTTCTTATTAAATGCATAAAGGATTCATATTACTAGAATTTTGTTTTGAAAATATTTTGATATCATGACTAAGAATTTGGGAGGCGGTATCCAAATTAGAGGAATACTTTAAAGCATAACTTAAAAAAATTAGAGGTAGAATCACATAATTTAGCACACAGCCTCTTCCTTTTCCAAGAAGGGAATTGAACCACCAAGAGGTTCATTGATTTGCCCCAAGTCTCAGAGCTATTTGACAAAACTAGGATGAAAAGTTTACAAATAAGAATATAAAAATCCAGGGCTGGGAAGGTGGCTCAGTGGTAGAGTGCTTGCCTTGCATGCTTAAGGCCCTGGGTTCGATTCCTCAGCACCACATAAGCAAAAAGAAAAAAGCCAGAAGTGGGGCTGTGGCTCAAGTGGTAGAGCACTAGCCTTGAGCTGAAGAGCTGAGAGACAGCGCCCAGGCCCAGAGTTCAGGCCCCACGACCGGACCCCCCCCCCCAAAAAAAAAAAAGAATATAAAAATCCTCCACTAGGCCCTATGGATTTCACAGTTATCCAGCTGCCTCCTGTCTCCAGCAAGTTGGTTGAAGTAATAAGAGGAGAGCAATAAGATTGAATTATTGCTTGAAAGTTAATTCTAGCTGTAGGATGGAGGAGGGGTAAAAAGAGGATGTGATTGGAGAGAGGGCAACTTAGGAAGGCTCACAGATTTTCCCACATACCACAGAATATTTTTAGTGCACAAAAATGAAAACTGTAGACATACACTGCCTTTCTTTTGAAAAGGTTCTAAAATTAGCAGTGTAATCATATAGCATTTGAATCTAGTGCAAATGATGCAAGAATATAGATTCTGACCTTAATGGATTACTTTAAATATTTTCAAATCGCTGTATTATAGGGAAAATGAAAAGTTCAAGAGCATCACATACTCCTGCTCCGAAAGTGAAAATCTCAAGAGAATCACGTACTCCTGTTCAGAAGTCAGAAGCTGAAAGCCAGGAACAACAAACAGCAAAACTAGAAAAGGCAAAGGCAAAACAAGAGTAAGTACCCATTTTAGCCTTTTGTCATTTCTACAACTGGACAATTTCCAAACTTACCCAAATCTACCCAGATAATTTCAAAAATGTGTTGTTGGGTAAGTTTAGAAAGATGTTTGTGCTTTAAAATGACCTTCAGCTGAGTGTGATGGTTTAAGCCTGTTAGCTACTTGAGAGACAAAATAGGATCTCTATTTGATGCCAGCCCAGGCATAAAAGTTAGTGAGATTTAACTAGGCACTGGTGGTTCACACCTGTAATCCTAGCTACTCAGGAGACAGATCAGAGGATTGCAGTTCAAACCCAGCCTGAGCAGGAAAGCCTTTGGGACTTTTTTTTGTGTGTGAAAATACTGTATAGAGGGGTTACAATTACATGGGCAAGATAATGAGTACATTTCTTATCAAGCATTGTAGCCTCCTCCTTTGTTTTGGGACTTTTATCTACAAGTAACTACCAAAAAGGTTGGAAGTAGACTTATAGTTCAAGTAGTAGAGCACTAGCTTTGAACAAAAGAAAACTCAAGGACAGCACCCAGGCCCTGAGTTCAAGCCTTAGGACACATGTGTGTGCTCACACACACACACACACACACACACACACACACACACATACACACATTTCAACTAGTGGTTGGGTGTAGCTGCACACAACACAGGAAAACACAAGTAGGAGGATCACAGCCTAGACCAGCCTGGGCAGAAAGCAATTCCCCCCACCTCAAAGTAACCAAGAAGACAAAGCTGGATATCAGTAGCTCACGTCTGTAATCCTAGCTACTCAGGAAGCTGAGATTTGGAGGAGTACATGCAGTTTGAAGTTAACATGGTCAGAAAGTCAGTGAGACTCGATATCCAACTAACCAAAAAGAAAAAAAAAGCCAGCTCACATGGTAGAGCAACCAAGTCATGCAAGAGCTCAGCATTCAAGTCATAATGCCAACACACACACACACACACACACACACACACACACACACACATGAGATAAAATGGGGCTGGAGGCATGTGGTCAAGTGGCAGATTGCCAACTTAAAAGCACAAAAGCCTAGTTCAATTCACAATGTCACAAAAAAAAAACCTTCAAGTTGAATAGCTATTCGAATTTTACTATTTTATAATTTACAAAGCACACTAACACACACATATTTGATCCTGCTACAATGTGTGGAACAGTTTTATTATTATCTATTCCTTGCATGCTGGTACTGGCGCTTCAGCTCAGGGCTTTGCACTTTTGAGTGGCTTTTTTTGCTCAAGGATAGCACTTTGAGCCACTTTGAGCCTGTGGCTTTCAGCCTCCTGAATATTAGGATTAGAGACTGGCACCCAGCCAAAGTGGAATAATTCTATGACCTGACCAAGATGAGCCTTATGTTTCTTTTTCCAGTCCTGGGCTTGAACTCTGGGCCTGGGCACTGTCTCTTGAGCTTTTGTGCTCAAGACTAGCACTTGACCCATAGCTCTACTTCTAGCTTTTCTTTGGTTAATTGGAAATAAGAGGCTTATGGACTTTCCTACATGACTGGCTTCAAACCGCAGTCCTCAGATCTCAGCCTCCTGAGTAGCTAGAATTACAGGTGTGAGCCACTGGCACCCAGCCAAGGAAGGAAGTTTTACCTTCTACATCATGCTTATCAGTTTGCAATAGAAAACTAGGCCTCTTATAACTTTGGTTATTGCACCTAGTATTTCATTACATTTGAACTAGACAGACACTGACTTTGGGGGGATGTTTGTTGTTGTTATTTGTTTTGTGCCTGTCCTCAGCTAGGATTCAGGGACTGGGCACTGACCCTAAGCTTCTTTTGCTCAAGGCTAGTGCTCTACCACTTGAGCCACAGCGCTACTTCTGACTTTTTTTTGTAGTTTTGTAGATGAAAATCTCACAGACTTTCCTGCCTGGGCTGGACTCAAACCCCTGAGTAGCTAGGAATACAGGCATGAGGCACCAACAGCAGGCTGGATAGTGTTAAGTACTAACTGCAATGAAATCATCTTAAGGCATAAATAATTTTGCCTATTAATGATACATTCATTATATATATGCTTTTTGATAAAGTTTTAGCCAGAAAATTTTAATACAAGGGAAATAGTCCTAAGTATTTTGTATCTCATTCTGACTAGATTCTGCAAATGACCTATTCCAACTAGCATATCCAAGTGTTCCTCATTAAGTCAGTCTGAGCATGGGAGATGGGGAAGTACAAGAGAAGGATGCAGAAATTGAAAGTTCTCCAAGATTTTAGAAAAATGATAAGTATGTAATATTAACTAACTTTTTCTTCTCATAATTATTAGAAAACTTTCAGCTCAAATAATACAGAGAAATTGGCTCACTTATTTGGACAAATCATTATTTCGACTTCTAAAACATACAATCTGTGCAGCGGTATGTATTTTTCTTTTTATTTTCTCTGGCAGACTTATTTTTAATTATATTTTTATTATCTTTAATCTCTGGCAGATTTAATTGCTTATCAAGCTGAAGGGTCTGTTCATTAAAGATAGAATAGCAAGCTATCTTTGTCTCTGCTATTTAGACATAATGATGTGTAAGGTTCTGGAATTGCTTCTTTTGTTAAGTCTAAATGCATATTTTTGAATTTATTTTTAATATGAATGATTGTTGCTTCTTTTTCTGAAATGTATATATTATTTTTTATTGTGCTGGTTCTAGGGTGTGAACTCAGGGCCTGAGTGCTCTCTCTGAGCCTTTTTTGCTCAAAGCTAGCACTCTACCACTTGAGCCATAGCTCTGCTTCCAGCTTTTGGATGGTTAATTGGAGGTAAGTGTCATGAACATTCCTGCCTGGGCTGGCTCAGATCTCAGCCTCCTGAATAGTTTGGGTTACAGACGTGAACCACTGTCACCTGACAGTTTCTTACTTTTGGTGTGTGTGTGTGTGTGTGTGTGTGTGTGTGTGTGTGTGTGTGTGTGTGTGTTTGTGTCTGTGTGTCTGTGTGTGTCTGTGTCTGTGTGTCTGTGTCTGTGTATCTGTGTCTGCGTTTGTGTGTGTGTGTGTATTTTTTTGTTGGTCATAGGACTTGAACTCAGGGCCTGGTTGCTGTCCATGAGCTCTTTTGCTCAAGGCTAATGCTATACCATGTTGAGGCACAGTTCCACTTCCAGTGTTGTTTCTTTGTTCTTTATTTTTGGAGTGAACTGGAAATAAGACTCTCACAGGGACTTTTCTGCATGGACTGGCTTTGGTGATCCTCAGATCTCAGTCTCCTGAGTAGCTAGGATTATAGGCTTGAGCCATCAGTACTGACTAGTTTCTCAGTTTTTTAATTTGATTACTTACTTGAAGATGTGAGACGGTGATCTTCCAACAATAAAAACCTCTAAATTAGGGGCTGGGGGAGTAACTAACTGGTAGCATTGTATGCTAAGTATGTATGAGGCTCTGGGTTCAGTCCTCTGCACTAGAAACATAAACAAAAACCCTCTGATTAAAAGTACTTTTATGCATATATGGGTATGTCAAAACAAAACTGCCTTGTACAACTAATTGATGCTAATATGAAAAAAGGACAGTATATTAAAATAAGTGGGCTGGGAATGTGGCTTAGTGGTAGAGTGCTTGCCTAGCATGCAGGAAGCCCTGGGTTTGATTCCTCAGTACCACATAAATAGAAAAGGCCGGAAGTGTAGAGTGCTAGCCTTGAGCAAAAGAAGCTCAGGGATAGTGTCCAGGTCCTGAGTTCAAGCCCCAGAACTGGCAAAAATAAATAAAAATCACAAAAAATAAAATAAAAATGCTCTTGCTTTCTGCCAACAATCCCATTTCTGTGAATGTATTCTATAATATATACAATTTCATTTTAACTTTAGTGTTACGGCAAGGAAGTTTGGCAGTGTTAAACCTCACAGAATTAATGTGACTCTGCAATAGAAAGATAACCAAGATAGGTTGTTAGTGAAAAAGATGTCAGAACAGTATAAAGAATATAATCCCAGTTGAGTAAATAACAAATCATGTAAAGGATTTATACTTAGGGGAGGAGTCTAACAGTGTAATTCCTTTGAACAACTAACATTTAACAACACCAATACCAGGAAGCTGGAACATGTTCTTCAAAAGGGATCATTAAGGGTGTCCACATGGATTTAAGGAAGAAGGGTGAGCAAATGGGACATTATATTCAATGTACATTATGTAAAACTTGAACTAAACAACTTGAAGGTAGGTATGGGATAGGGAAAGGTAGGGAGAATTATGAAAAAGGTGACATTAATCAAGATGCATTGTAGTCAACCTCACCTGTAGAATTGAAATCCCTTTGTACAGGTACTTAACAAAAAGAAATATTTTTAAAAAGAAAGGAGCTTTCTGGATTTCATGTCCACAGGTTTTTTTTGTTTTTTGGTTTTTTTTTTTGTCCGGTCGTGGGGCCTGAACTCTGGGCCTGGGTGCTGTCCCTCAGCTCTTCAGCTCAAGGCTAGCGCTCTACCACTTGAGCCACAGCGCCACTTCCGGCTTTTTTCTTTCTGCTTATGTGGTGCTGAGGAATCGAACCCAGGGCCTTGAGCATGCAAGGCAAGCACTCTACCACTGAGCCACCTTCCCAGCCCCTCCACAGGTTTTTTGGGTTTTTTTGTCTTTTCTTTTTTGGTACTGGGGATGGAACCCAGGACGTTGCACTTGCTAGGCAAGCGCTTTGCCACTGAGCTACATCCCAGCCCCACAGGTTTTTTTTTAATGTATATGATACCTTCCCTCAAAAACAACTCTAGCAATCCCAGCATAATATGAAGCCTTCCTTATATAATACTATATATTCCCCTAGTAAAATAATTCAGAATTCCAGTAACCACATTAGTATGATAGCCACAGTAAAATAATTTTTATTGGGCACTGGTAGCTCTTATAAAAGTCTTTTTCTTACCCATCCTGGCCCTTGAACTCAGGGCCTGGGCATTGTCCTTGAGCTTCTTTTGCCCAAGGCTAGCACTCTATCATTAGAGCCACAGCACCACTTCTGACTTTTTTCTTAGGAATCAAACCCAGGGCTTCATGTATGCTAGGCAAGCACTCTACCACTAAGCCACAATCCCAGTCATAAAGAGCCTTTTATTACACATCTTATGTGATTATCATGAGCATAAGGTTGACTATCATTGAGTGGGCATTCAAGAGTCTAATATCTAAGTTTCCCTTTTACTACCTTCATTCTGATGTGTAAATTACAAAAAACACCCTGCCTCAACCTTCTCCTTTGTAAAAAGGGTAATAGTATTCTAATACTATTACTGTTGTTATAATTAAATAAGATTATGAATGTTAAAGGGTGCTAAAAATCTAGTAACTCGCTGGGCACCAGTGGCTCACACCTGTAATCCTAGTTACTTAGGAGGCTGAGATTTGAGGGTCATGGTTCAAAGCCATCACAGTCCATGAGACTCTCATCGCCAATTGACCACCAAAAAGCCAGAAGTGAAGCTATAGCTCAAGTGGTGGAGTGCTAAAGTTGAGCACAAACTCTCAGGCATAGTACCCAGGCCCCAAGTTCAAGCCCCTGGACCAGCACCCAAAAAAAAAGTCTAGTAGGGCTGGGAATGTGGCTCAGTGGTAGAGTACTTGCCTTGCATGCATGAGGCCCTGGGTTTGATTGCTCAGCACCACATAAACAGAAAGAAAAATCAAGTAGCTTACAGTAGCCATCCTCATGTTAGAGTGATTCAGTCAACCTCAAATGATTGTTGTGCATCTAGTATATTTCAAGCACTGTACTAGACATTAGAACTATAGTGAAAGAAGAAAGAAACTATCCCTGCTTTCATGATGCTTAAAGTCTATAGTAGAGACACGGGCAAGTTTGTAAGTAATTACAGTAAATTGTAAAGTGTTGTCCTAGGGAGATAAAAATGCCTGTGGACAGATACTCAAATTTGAGGACCCAAAAAATTAATCGACTGATTCAAGCCTGCACTGATGATAAATGGAAGAGCCAAGATAGGAAACTACCTCTTCAGGGCTGGGAAGTTGGCTCAGTGGTAGAGCGCTTGCCTTGCATACCCGAGGCCCTAGGTTCGATTCCTCAGCACCACATAAGAAAAAAGCCGGAAGTGGCACTGTGGCTCAAGTGGTAGAGCACTAGCCTTGAGCTCAGGCCCAGAGTTCAGGTCCCACAACCGGACCCAAAAAAACAAACAAAGGAAACTACCTCTTCAGAATTCCAAGCCCAGGACAGTATTCTGAACACTTTGACACTCATCCTCTGTTATGTCAGCAAATTGGTCAGGACAGTATTTATTTTCTATTTATAGCTCTATCATCTATTTCAGGAATATTTTGCATCATATGAAATACTGAAGAAAGTGAGTCCTTTAGAGGCCCAACTTGTCAAAGATCCTAGCATGAAGTATAAAGTCAGATTCAGGTAATATATCTATGCTGATTTATTTATTCCAAGGAGCACATAGTGAATAAGAAGTCTTAGAAATTATTTTAAGTCCTCACAACTTCTCAGGATATAATTATAAAGTAAATGTGTTGTCTTTATTTACATCAGTTATGTGAAGAATCTAAGGCATGACACTGGCCAAAAGTTGCCATGAGAGAATGGGCATGGTTCACACTTGCAAGCCCAGCTACTTGAGAAGCGGAGGTTGGGAGGTTGGCAGTTTCATGACAGCCTCCCCAGCCCAGAGGAGGTGGGGAGTTAGCAAAAGAAAGTATGATGGGCTGGGAAGTTGGCTCAGTGGTAGAGCGCTTGCCTTGCATGCCTGAGGCCCTGGGTTCGATTCCTCAGCACCACATAAGCAAAAAGAAAAAAGCCGGAAGTGGTGCTGTGGCTTAAGTGGTAGGGCACTAGCCTTGAGCTGAAGAGCTGAGGGACAGTGCTCAGGCCCAGAGTTCAGGCCCCACAACCGGACAAAAAAAAAAAAAAAAGAAAGTATGATACTCTATCCAAAAAGCTAAAGCAGAAGCAATAAAGGAAGATGGGACTGACAACATGGCTTAAGTGGTAGAGTGCCTGCCTAGTAAGTATGAGGTACTGAGTTTAAAACCCAGTACCACATCAAAAATAACAAAGAAATAAAGTTGCCATGAGAGTAAGTCTCATCTCCCACTCTGTTTCTGGTCTGACATAGGTATGAGGATAGTTGTGAGCACACCAACGTGTAGGTCTTTTCATCCTGTGGGTTTTTTTTTTCTGGTTCCAGGCTTGAACTCAGTCTTGAGCAATGCCCCTGAGCTTTCTTTGTTTAAGGCTAGTACTCTACCACTTGAGCCACAGCTCTGCTTCTGGCTTTTGGGTAGTTAGTTGTAGATGAGAATCTCATGAACTTTCCTGCCAAGGCTGACTTTCAATCGTAATCCTCAGATCTCATCCTACTGAGTAGTTAGGATTACAGGTGTGAGCCACCACAGGCCTGGCTTCACTCTGCATTTTTACTTATGATTTTTGTACTAGTATTGGAACTTGAACTTAGGGCTTCTCACTCTCTCTTAGCCTTTTTGCTGAATGCTGATACTATGCCACTTGAGTTACAGCTCCACTTTTGACTTTTGGCTGGTTAATTGGGGATAAGAGTGTCTCAGATTTGTCTGCTCAGGCTGGCTTTGAACCAGGATCCTCAGCTCTTAGCTTCCTGAGTAGCTAGGATTACAAGTGTGAACCACCAGAAACTGGCTCATCACTGTATTTTTACATACTCTTGGCATATAGCTTTGGCTCTATATTTGAGAAATGGTATGAACTACCTTAAGTCCAAGGGGAAGAAATAATGAAACCCCCAAACTGATGGCATATAACTCATTTTTGTCTTTATTTCAGATTTAATGGTGAACATTTTCCACCCTACATAGTGTTTAAAATTTTTCTTCAGACTGATAGCTGTAAATGCAAGTATTTCAGCGGGAAAAACGTATTAATGGCGTCGAATGAGGTGATATTCCATGAAGTACATTTTATGTTAATTCAACTTCTTTTTTTGTTGGTTGTGGGGCTTGAACTCTGGGCCTGGGCGCTGTCCCTCAGCTCTTCAGCTCAAGACTACTTCTCTGCCACTTGAGCCACAGCGCCACTTCTGGTTTTTGAGTGGTTCATTGGAGATAAGAGTCTCACAGGGATACTTTTTTCTCATGGGGCTGGCTTCTAAGCACAATCCTCAGATCTCAGCCTCCCGAGTAGCTAGGATTATAGGCATGACACACTGGCACCCAGTCAAACCATACTTTTAGTAGCAAGGAGTTCTAGCAGAAGTTTAATTCCTTTAATCTTTAACCTAACTGTAATTGAGTTTAAAAGGTAGAAATTCTCCTATTTACTAACCCATACAGCAAAGGTTAGTTTTTTCCATGTCTGGAGTTGTAGCTCAGTGGTAGAGCACTTGCCTACCATGTTTATGGTCCTAGGTTGAATCCTTGTAATGCAAAAAAAAAAAAAAAAGCCTCTTCTGGATATATTTTACACAAAATGTTTGGCCAATGTGAAATCATGAGTTGTGACCTGTGTTCAGTGCTGAAGATTGTACGGCCTGGCAGTATCTGGTCCCATTCAACATAGCAGTATTTCGACCCTGAAGAGTATTAGAAAAGGAAAGGGGCTACTTTGCTCCATGTTCTCAAGCAATCAACTCTGGTTTGGACATGTATCAAATGAGCTGCATGTTTTCATAATGCAATGTACTGCTTCAAAAACATTAATAGTTCTTCATTATGTGGATTGATGGGATAGTATAAATTTAGCTTACATTTGAAGGATAAATTCATGCCACATTCATTTATGGAATAAACTAACAGTTGTCCCTATAAAATATCAGTTGTTTCTTTCCTGAGGTTGTATAATGGAGCATTTCCAGGAACTAAAATTCTCCTGGGTAATTCCAGCCCAACCTCTCCTGTGTCCAGGCTTGAGAAATTGAGAATCTTAGAGGCAGGAAATCACTGTGTGGACATTTGAACTCATTAGAATATTGTGTTATAACTTCATTAAATTTTTTATTTTGTTGGGGTTTTTTTGTTCCCTGGCCAGGAAACAGGCTTTTTTTCTTTAAATTCTGAAAGAACTGTTGGAAAATGATGGAACTAGCCCAGAGATTTACAAAGAAAATAGGTCATGATATATCACTCTTTTGGATTAATCATTAGTAATGGTTTGCTGTATATCCTCACTTTTCCCATAAAAATATCCACACATAAACTGGGCGCCAGTGGCTCATACCTGTAATCCTAGCTACTCAGGAGGCTGAGATCTGAGGATTGCGGTTCAAAGCTAACCCGGGCAGGAAAGTCCGTGAGACTCTTATCTCTAATAAACCACTAGAAAACTGGAAGTGGCACTGTGGCTCAAGCAGTAGAGTGCTCACCTTGAGCTGAAGAGCTCAGGGACAGCGCCCAAGCCCAGAGTTCAAGCCCTATGACCGACAAAAAAATATATATATCCACACATAGATTTTTTTTTTTTATTGTAAAGCTACTATACAGAGGGTTACAGTTACATGAGTGAGGTTATGAGTACACTTCCTCTTGAACATTGTTACCCCCTCCATTGTTTTCCCCCTACCATCCCCTCCCTCCCTCCCTTCCCCGAGGTTCTTTTTTTTTTTTTTGATTGTGATTAAATGATTACATAATTTCAAAGTCACAAGTTCATTCTAACTTCCCTGGAGCAAATTGTCTACCACAGTCTGTAATATATAACAGTGTTCACATGTTATATACCATATTTGTGATCAGCAGCATGAGGATATTTAGTAGTGGTTCAACCAGATGAGCGGGAGTTCTTTGTTTCTTAAGTCCTGTTTTGTCGTATCACCTAACCTTTTGGATTTAGCATCCACTTATGAGGGAGACCATGTACCGTTTGTCTCTTCGTTCTTGGCTTACCTCGCTCAACATGATTCCTTCTAGCTCCATCCATTTCCCTGCAAATGCCATTATTTTGTCATTTCTAATGGCTGCATAATATTCCATTGTGTATAGATACCACAATTTTTGGATCCATTCATCTGTGGTGGGGCACCTAGGTTGTTTCCATATCCTAGCTATTGCGAACAGTGCTGCAATAAACATGGAGGTGCACGTGTCCTTGTATATTGGTTCCTGTTGTTCAGGGTAGATGCCTAGAAGTGGTATGACTGGGTCGTAAGGGAGGTCAATCTTTAGCTTTCTAAGGACCCTCCAGACTGCTTTCCAAAGTGGTTGTATAAGTGTACATTCCCACCAGCAGTGTAATAGGGTTCCTCTTTCTCCACATCCCCTCCAGCATTTGTCGTTGGCTGATTTGTGGATGTGGGACATTCTGACTGGGGTAAGGTGGTATCTCAGGGTTGTCTTTATTTGCATTTCCTTCACCACCAGGGATGATGAACATTTCCTCATGTGTTTCTTTGCCATTTTTATTTCTTCATTTGAGAAGTCCCTCTTTAGTTCCCTTGCCCATTTAGTAATTGGTTTGTTAGGTTTGGGAGGGATTAGTTTCTTGAGTTCCCTGTATATACAGGATGTTAACCCCTTGTCTGATATATTGCTGGTAAATATTTTTTCCCAATTAGTTGGTTGTCTTTCTAGCTTAGTTGCGATAGATTTAGCTGTGCAGAAGCTTTTTATTTTAAGGTAGTCCCATTTGTCGAGTCTCTCTCCAACTTGTTGTGACCCTGGGACTCTGTTCAGGAAGTTCCTTCCTGTGCCTATTAGTTCAAGTGTCTCTCCTACTCTGTCCTGCAGTAGTTTCAGAGATTCAGGTTTAATGTTAAGGTCTTTAATCCATTTTGAGTTGATGTTGGTGCATGGTGATAGGCTGGGGTCCACTTTTAGTTTTCTGCATGTGGCTGCCCAGTTTTCCCAGCACCAGCGGTTGAAGAGGCTGTGTTTCTTCCATTGTATGTCTTTGGCTCCTTTGTCGAATATCAGCTGGCTGTAGGCCTGTGGATTTATATCTGGATCTTCTATTCTGTTCCATTGGTCTTCGGGTCTGTTTTTGTGCCAGTACCATGCTGTCTTTGTGATTATAGCTCTGTAGTAGAGTTTGAAGTTCGGCATGGATAGCCCTCCCATATTGTCTTTATCCCCTAGAATTGTTTTGGCTATTCTAGGTCTTTTGTTGTTCCATATAAATTTTTGGACTGTTTTCTGTATTTCAGTGATGTACGTCATTGGGATTTTAATAGGAATTGCATTGAATTTGTATATTAGTTTTGGAAGTATCACCATCTTTACTATATTAAGTCGGCCTATCCAGGAGCATGGGAGGTCTTTCCATTTCCTAGTGTCTTCTGCAATTTCTTTCTTTAACTTTTTATAGTTCTCATTAAATAGTTCTTTTACATCTTTGGTTAGGTTAATTCCTAAATATTTTATTTTTTGGGAGGTTATTGTGAATGGGGTTGCTCCCTTTATTTCCCTCTCTTCCTGTGCGTTATCAGTGTATAGGAAGGCAACTGATTTTTGTGGGTTTATTTTGTATCCTGCTATTTTGCCGAAGTGACTTATGATTTCTAAAAGTTTGGGGATGGAGTTTTTGGGATCGTGGAGGTATAGTATCATGTCGTCTGCAAAAAGGGATAGTTTCACTTCTTCTTTCCCTATGCGGATCCCTTTAATGTCTTTTTCTTGCCTTATTGCCCTGGCTAAGGGTTCTAGGACTATGTTGAAGAGGAGTGGAGACAGTGGACATCCTTGCCTTGTTCCTGTTTTTAGGAGGATTGGTTGTAGCTTTTCCCCATTAAGTATAATATTGGCTATTGGTCTGTCATAAATGGCTTTTATTGTTTTTAGAAATGTTCCTTCTATTCCTATTTTCTCCAGAGCTTTTAGCATGAATGAATGTTGAATTTTATCAAAGGCCTTTTCTGCATCTGTGGCGATAATCCACACATAGATTTTTTAAACTTTCTTTGTTCTTTTTTATTTTTGTGGTACTGGAGTTTGAACTCAAGCTCTTAAACTTGCTAAGCAGGCACTGTACACTTGAACCACACCATCAGGCCCCTTTTGCCTTGCTTTTTTTCCCAAACAGAGTCTTCCTTGCTTTAGGCCTAGGCCAGCATGGACAAGAATCCCCTTAAGAACAGAACCGACTTCTTGAATCCTACTCATGTTGACTAGTATCCTGGAATTCCCACTTAGATTTCACCCATTCTATTCTCCCAAGGCCCAGCTCTTCTTGCTCATTGGTTTCTATTTTCCTGAACCTCAGGATACACAGCAGATTTTTGACAAAGGACATCTTGGCATTGACAGAAAACTTTTTTCCAATACCCTCTCAAAATGGGCATGGTTTTCTTGAGCCAAGGGACTGGAACGGGCCATCACAGTTAAGGTGATATACAAACAAGAAAACTGGGTCTTGGTACGGGGTGTTGGTTTGCTGAGGAAGACAGTAGGAGTAACACACTATAATGATCTTTTCTAAGTAATCTCAGCTAAATAAAATGTAGTTACACCTAAAGAAAGTCTTAAAGTACGTCTTCTTATCTGTCCAGGGTACAAAGAACTGTGTTTTACCTTCAGTGTCACTATAGGGCTGGTTAATTGCAACCCACAGGAAATCAATTGTAAGAAAGCATAATGGAGAGATTTGCCAATATTATATTTCCTTATGATGTTTATTATATAAAGAAACGAATGAATTGGAAGGCAAAAATGATCTACGTATAGGAAGGTTCCCTCTCATATTTTCAGTAAACTGTTTCTATCCCTTCAATTTAGCACATTAGGATTATTGCACTGGCATACCTTCTTTTTATTTTCCATACATGTTTTCTCAGCTTTGGAATTTAGAAAGAAAAAAATGAAATCAGGAAGAGCTGCTGGTGGTCATGTCTACAATCATAGCTATTCAGGAAGCTGAGACCTAGAGGATCATGGTCTAAAGCCACCTCAGGCAGAAAAGTCTGAGAATAGGAGACACCATCTCCAATTAACTATCAAAAAGTCAAACTAAAGTGTCAATGGCTCACACCTGTAATCCTAGCTACCCAAGAGCCTGAGATCTGAGGATTGCAGTTCAAAGCCAACCCCAGCAGAAAAGCCCGTGAGACTCTTATATCCACCAAAGTAATAAAAAAAAAAAAAGAAAAAGAAAAAAAAACAGAAGTAGAGCTATAGCTGAAGTAGTAAAGCAGTAGCCTTGAGCAAAATGAAGCTCAGGAACAGTGCCCAGGCCTTGAGTTTAAGCAAGCCCCAGGACCAGAACAAAACAAAACAAAAAGTCACACTAGGGATGGAACTCAAGTGGTAGAATACAAGCCAAGCAAGTTTAGCAAATGACATGTCCTGGGTTCAAACTCCAGCACTTACCACGCTCTCCCCCACCCCACAAAAAAATAAATAATCAGGAAGATTCCAGATAACAAAAGTGAAAATTGGAGTAGAAAATATGTGCAGGCTAACTATTGTGATGTGTGCTAAGTAAAAGGAACATAAATTCTGGGTTTTGATCTTTGAAGCACTCTTTTACTTCCTCCCTATCAGAAGCACCATACTTTCACAAATAACACATTCTGAGATGCAAGGGGAAAGAGAAATTGGAACCAAAAGATATTTGTATTTTCTTCTTGAATTTCAGCCTCCTTCTACATAAGCAGACTCTTTGTGGACAGAAGCACAAACAGATAACATAAATGTGTTAGAAGAGTCAGCGTGTGCTTATAAATGTGGGGAATACTTAATCTCCCCCTCTCTTATGTTCAGTTCTCAGCACAAGGATAGGGAAACTAAGACTGGGTGCTAATAGATCGAGACAGCATTTGAGCCTCCTTATTTTCTGTCATTCTTTGGTCTCTGATCTCCCAGATGCTTTCCTTGAATAGAAACTGTTGACATTTGAGAAGAAAAGAAAAAAATCTTTTATCTGCTTCTCTTTGGTTGAGAATGAAGTCTGAAGGGGAGGGAGGCCTAAGCAACTTGAAACGTACATGTTTCCATTTGAGAACAATGTACTAACACAGAAAAGAGTCAGTCCTAGTATTATGTATTACTGCAGCTCCTAGGGCAACCTGCTTACTCACCAGATCAGTTTTCCTTGCATCGACAGTACAAATGAGGTTATAGGGTTTTTTTTTTCATCTTTTAAAGGGAAAGAACGTTTTAAAGGGAGAGAAATTGATTTTAAAAGCAAAACTGATCTGTTGAGGATTGTGAACTCTAATTCTCTAGCTGCATTTTAAAATTGTGCAACTAAAGCTATAGAAACAAATAGTAAGTAGGTTAAAAACACCTGTGCCAGGACGCTGGTGGCTCACACTTGTAATCCTAGCTTCTGAAGAGGCTGAGATCTGAGGATCATGGTTCAAAGCCAGTTAGGGCAGGAAAGCCTCCAACACACGCTAACCACTAAAAAGCCAGAAGTGGAGCTGTGGCTCAAGTGGTAGAATGCTAGCCTTGAGCACAAAAGTTCAGGGACAGTGGCCAGGCACCGAGTTCAAGTCCCGGGACCTGCACAAAAATAAATAAAAATCTCTATGCCATATGTGGTGATTCACTCCTATATCCTGGCTCCTCAAGATCCTGAGGTCAGGAGTATTGCAGTTTGAAACAAGACAGGCACAAAGTTTATGAGACTCGCCCTACCCCATCTCAACCAATAAATAGCTCAATGTGGTGGTGCACATCTGTTATCTCAGCTATGTGGGAATCATAAATAGAAGGCTGGGCCTGGCTAGGCCAGGCATATATGTGAAACCCTATTTGAAAAATAATTTGCTGGCCATAGTGGCTCAAGCCTGCCATCTTAGAGACTTAGGGGGTGATGAAAGATCATAGGTTGAGGCTAACCAGGACATAGAAGTTGTAACACTCCATTTCCATCAATGGCTAGGTATGGTGGTACATACCTGTTATACCAGCCACAGGGGAAACACAATAGCTAGTTGCCCTGGCATAGCTGTCATCCTCAGACCTGAGAATGAGCTGGTAAGATCAAAGCTTAGGCTGCCCCAAGCATACATCAAGACTTGAGCTTGAAAGTAACCAACACAAGGGTTATTTTCAAAGGAGGAGCTGGAGGGCTGGTTCAAATGGTAGAATGCGTGCTTAGCAAAACACTAAGCTCTAGTTCAAACCTCAGTATGGCTAAAAAAAATAAGCAGTCAAGTTTTGGTGGCTCATGCTTTTAATCCTAGATACTGAAAAGGCTGAGATCTGAGGATCATGGTTTAAAGCCAGCCCAAGTAGAAAAATCCATGAAAGGGGCTGGGAAGGTGGCTCAGTGGTAGAGCGCTTGCCTTGCATGCATGAGGCCCTGGGTTCGATTCCTCAGCACCACATAAACAAAAAGTAAAAAGCCAGAAGTGGCACTGAGGCTCAAGTGGTAGAGCGCTAGCCTTGAGCTGAAGAGCTGAGGGACAGAGCCCAGGCCCAGAGTTCAGGCCCTACGACTGGACCCAAAAAAAAAAAGAAAGAAAAAGAAAAATCCATGAAACTCTTCTCTCTAATTAACTACCAAAAAGCCAGAAGTAGAGCTGTGGTTCAAGTGATAGAGTGCTAGTCTTGAGCACAAAAGCTCAGAGATAGTGTCCAGGCCTTGAGTTCAATCCCCAGAATTGGCACAATAAAAATAGATACATACATACATACATACATACAAGATAGATAGATTTAACTTAAGGACAAAAGGCTGGACGAATGGCTCAGGATATATCGAGTGTGTGCTTTACATCTGATCAGAAAAAGTATTATACTACTATCTTCAACTGGATGCACTGGCTTATATTTGTAATTTCAGCTACTTGGGGAGGTAGGAATCAGGAGGATTATAGTTTAAGGCCAGCTAGGGAAAAAAGTAGCAAGGCTCCACAAAAAAGTCAGATGTGGTGATTCACTTCTGCACAGGTAGTTTAACTAGGAGACCTGCAGTCCAAGACCAGCCTGAGCAAAAAAGATAAGACAGTGCCTGAAAAAAAATAATATAGGGCTGAGAGCATGGTTCAAGTAATAGAATGCCTACCTTGAAAACATGAGGCCCTGAGTTCAAACCCTAATACTTCCAAAAGAGTGAAATATACCACCATTGTAAAATATGTGTTCCTATTTTCCTTATAGGGAATGTGCAGTGCTTACAATATGATGGGGAAAAAGAAATTTTATCAGCAGATTATGGAAGATGAACGTTATTACCAGAAGTTTAAAGTAACTGATCAAAAGGATATTGTCACCCAGAAAGATTATGTGCAAGTAAGTAATTTCAAGTTGCATACTTAGAAACAAAGGACAAAAATCTTCCTGACTTGATCCTCCAAGAAAAAAATCACACATCTCTCTCTCTGTCTCTCTGTCTCTCTCTTTCTGTCTCTGTCTGTCTGTCTGTCTCTCTTTTGCCAGTCCTCAAAGTGGTAGAGTGCTAACCTTGAGTAAAGAAGCTCAGTAACAGAGCCTAGGAAAAATAAAAAATAAAAGTAAAAATCTGCGTGGGATTAAAATAATAAGGATTTGACATAGTAAGGAAGTTTTCTTATTGTTTCAAAGCTTTCTGGTGTAACAGAATATGTCCAACTGCATTAGGCTTGAACAAATAGGAAAGAATTACCTGAATAGGTGGTTTCTGGGCTAGCTAATTCGGTAGCTTAAGATAACAGTGTTCTGAGTCAGCTTCTATGTAGGTTTATTGGTTTTTCTCACATGGCTACAAGATGACCATCACATCTTCAACTCCATTCAAAGACAAGAAGACAGGAACTTCTAGCATCTTGCTCTTTATCTTTTGTTCGTTTTGTTTTTCATCTTTTGTTCTGGTCTGTTTTTGTGCAGGTACTATGGCTTGAACTCAGGGCCTGGGCACTCTCCCTTAGCTTTTTTCACTCAAGGCTGACACCATCACTTGAGCCATAACTCCACTTCTAGCTTTTGGTGGTTAATTGGAAGAAAGAGGAGCTCATGAATGTTCCTGCCCTGATTGGCTGCTGGCTTTGAGCCACCATCTTCAGGTTCTCAGTCTCCTGAGTAGCTAGGATTCTACTGGCGTGAGCCAGTGGTGCCCAGCTGCATCTTGCTGTCTAGCTCAAGAAAGATAAAAGTTCCCAGAAGCCTCCAACAAATTTCTATTCAGGTCACATTATTTAGAACTGAATCATAGGCTCCTCTACACCAATCACTGATAAAGAGAAATGGCATCTCTTCCATGATTGATTTAGTACATTCATGATTTATGTGCTGGAGCTCTCCTTCCCTGAGTGTATTGTTATTCCATACCTGCCAAAAAAAAAAAGAGTCAAGACTCTAGGAGCAAGGGAAAAGTGGGAAATGGTTGCCGGGCATGATTGATTATGCATATCAGTCTGAGGGTGAGCAGATGGCAGCAGGGCCTGACAGCAAGTCACTGTGGCTTGAGAGTACACCGGATTACCACAGGGCTGATAGGCGATCACGAAGGGCTTTGGGGCTGTAATCAAGGATACATTTTCTTCTTTCTGCATTCAATGAGAAACGAGTGAAAAATTTTTTTAAAGCTGATAGAAACATTTACTAGAAGAGATATATGAGAGCCAAAGAGTAGTGAAGTGTTTGAAGAAATAAGATAATCAAGCTGGGCACTGATGGCTCCCTCCTAGAATCCTAGCCACACAGGAGGCTGAGATCTGAGAATTGTAGTTCAAAGCCAGCCCAGACAGAATTGTTCCCTTGACTCCATCTCCAGTTACCCAGCCAAAAAATTCTGGCCTGAAGGTGTGGCTGAAGTGGTAAAGTACCAGTTATGAGAGAAAAAAACAAGTGGGAGCTCAAGATCCTTGGTTCAAGACCCAGTACCAGCATTGAAATAGAAAGAGAGAGAGAATGAAAGAGAAAAAAGAGAAAGAAAAGAGAGAGAGAAAAAGAAAGAAAGAAAGAAAAGAAGGAAAGAAGGAAGGAAAGGAAGGTTGGAAGGTTAAATCTAAAGAATAAAGAAGTCCCTTTCACTTCAGTATAGAGAATGGATGAAATCAACAAGTCTTCCCCCTGTTTGAATTTAGGAGAATTGGTGGTTGCATGATCTATGGCTGTGAGTCTGAAGATACAAAAGATAAATAAAGTAAAAGCAATGAGCCTGAGTGACAGACTAAGAAGGAAACTAAAGGAAGATGACTTTTGTAGCTCCTAGGTTGTTGGTTTGCATTACTGGATGGATAACAGTGCTGAATCAGGACACTTAAACGGAATAGTAGCGGTGTGGTGGTGGTGGTGGTGGTGGTGGTGGTGGTGGTGGTGGTGGTAGCAGTAGTAGTAATCACAAATGTTTCTGTAACACTAACATCTTTTATTCTCATAAGAGGCAGGTGATGTCATTACTCTCATTTGGAAAGTTCTAAAGAAACAAGGGATCCCCAAATTCTGGCCTATCATAATGGCATATGTGCCCTTAGCTTTAACTCACTTGTTTCATTATACACCCACAAAATTAATGCAGTGCTTTAGAGACTCAAGTGTGTTTTCTTTTTCTTTTCTTTCTTTTTTAGAGAGACTTAACCTATGGGATTAGGAAATTGGACCTGGAAACAAATAGTGCTAAGGAGGCCAATTTGCTAAGGACAGGGGTCACATACTTGCAGATTGTGAATATGTCAAGAATTGATGTCTCCAAATAGACATGTTGGAAAAGAGAGATAAGATGATTATGGGTATTTCTGGAGCCCATGGATGAAATTGCTTTTAACTCTTAACACACAGTTTATCTCCATTAATCTTTGAGGTTGTAAATCATGTGAACCTTTATACAAATGAGAAAAAAAAATGAAGTTTAACAATGTCCAAAATCTTGCCCATGATCCCACAGTGAACAAATGGCAAAGCAGGTTGTTGATGGTCTGAGATGTTGACTCATTTTACTCTGGCACTGCTGAGAAATAAACTACACAAGCATTCTCAGTTTTGGTTTGGTTTGGTTTGGTTTGGTTTGGTGCTGGTCTGGGGCTTGAACTCAGGGCTTAGGCACCGCCCCTGTGCTCTTTTGCTCAAGGCTAGTGCTTTACTACTTGAGCCACAGCTCCACTTCCAGCTTTTTGGTGGTTAATTGGAGATAAGAGTCTCATGGATTTTCCTGGCCAGGCTAGCTTTAAACTTCGATCCTCAGAGCTCAGCCTCCTGAGTAGCTAGGATTATAGGTATGAGAATGCCACCAGTACCTGGCTGGCATTCTCACTTTGTACAGCACTGTGGGACTATAACAGTGACCATGCAAACTGAAATCAATCAAAGCACACATACTCAGCGGGGGAAAATTGTAATTGTGTCATGACTTGTAAACATTTTTGTCAACTCATTAAAGATAACTGGATTTGAGGGGCTGGGAAGATGGCTCAGTGGTACAGCGCTTACCTTGTATGCATGAGGCCCTGGGTTCAATTCCTCAGCACCACATAAGCAAAAAGAAAAAAGCTGGAAGTGGCTCTGTGGCTCAAGTGGTAGAGTGCTAGCCTTGATCTGAAGAGCTGAGGGACAGTGCCCAGGCCCAGAGTTCAGGCCCTACAACCGGACCCCAAAAAAATAAAATAAAGATAACTGGATTTGGTAGTGCATGCCTGTAATCCCAGCACTCAAGAGGCCAAAGTCAGAGGATTGTGAGCTCAAGGCCAGACCAGGATTTGTAGGGAATTTCAAGTCAGCCTTGGCTATATAGTGAGACCCTGCCTCAAAATATATATTTAGACTAAATTAAAAATAAACATTAAACCTTCTACTGCGTTATTAGTACATAAGCAAATGAAAGAAATCTCAACACATTTAGCACACTAAATATACTAAAGCCATCCATGTTGGGTGAATTGAATGCTATATGAATCTCAGTGAAGCTGGTGGCTGGGGGGGTGGGGGGGATGAACTGGGACTGAGGTTTAGTGGTAGAGTCCTTGCCCAGCATGAGTGAGGCCCTGAGTTTAACCCATAACCAGAAACAAAAGGTTGTGGGGGGAAAAATCAGCTTATAGATATGGAAAGAAACTTGAAGAATGCTTGCGTTCTTGTTTTTCTTCTGTAAGTTATAGTGGGGAACAAGCATTTCTCCCCCTATTCCTTGATGAATTGTCATATCCCTAAGTGTTACAAAATGCATTAGAGTTTCTTTCATGTGAAGTACTTTTTTTTTTTTTGCTAGTAACTAGAATTACAGGCATGGACCATCAGTGCCCAGTTTATGGGCTATAATATGTTTATACATTGAATGAACATATTCCTACATGCATAAACTAGGTGACCTGAATCCTGCATTCCTGTCGAGATCTAAGTTATAGACATAACTGAGATATTTAGTTGGTAGGAATTATAGAACTGTCCATAGAGTTCAGAGAAAAGACAAAGGAATATCTTTAAATGGAACCTTGGGAATTGTGTATGAAACCATTATAAAGTACACAAACCAATAATCCCCAAATTGTTTTTTTCCTATGCAGTATAATAGTCTTCTTGATGAAATCCCTGCCTCATCTGGTGGCAGGAATAACTACTGGCGAAGATTAACCCTTCAAAACATTCCCAAGGCAATGATGATGTATGACATACTTAATTATGTGGAGACTGGTGTCATCTCAGAGCGTTTACAGAAAAAAATGAAGTATCTGTTACAGAAACCACAGACAGAAGAGATGCGTCAGCAGCAGATGCAGGTGGTTTCTGGTATGAGGTAAAAGAAAACTGTCCTTGGTGTTACATTTTTCAAAGTGCTCACATTCTTCCGAAGCACTCACTAGTGATAACAATAAGGCCTATGTGGGAAAAGACAGTTGAGGCAGATTGCTTAAAATGTATGCAATCTCGGCTGGGCACCGGTGGCTCACGCCTGTAATCCTAACTACTCAGAAGGCTGAGATCTGAGGATGGAGGTTCAAAGCCAGCCTGGGCAGGAAAGTCTGTGAGACTCTTATCTCCAACTAATCACCAGAAAACTGGCAGTGGCGCTGTGGCTTAAGTGGTAGAGCGCTAGCCTTGAGCCGAAGAGCTCAGGGACAGCGCCCAGGCCCAGAATTCAGTCCCACAACTGACCAAAAAAAAAAAAAAAAAAAAGTATGCAATCTCACAAACAGAGCCCTTAAAAAAAGGTCAGTCAGTACCCAGGGAGATAACTTGTGCTACCAAATGAGCAATTCAGGATGGCTGGAGGCTGACAGCAAATAGAAAAACTGTTCAGGGATTGAGGGAAAATCTTTAGGTAGAACAGATAGTAGACAGAGTGCACATAGACATAGAGCCTTGGGTTGTTTTCTATCTAGAAATCACAACATTTTCATAACTTATACCTGAAACCTTAGCCATTCAGAAGGGCTGAGATCTAAGAACCCCAGTTCAAAGTTAGCCTGGGCGGACTCTTATTTCCAATTAAGCAGCAAACATTTATAAGTAGAGCTGTGGCTCAAGTGGTAGAGGGCTTGCCTCTAGCTAAAAGGCTCAGGGACAGTGCCCAAGTCCTGAGTACGGGCATAAAAGAGAGGAAGGGATGAACGAAGGCAGGGAGGTAAGGAGGGAGAGAGGAGAAAGAAATCAGTACTGGCACAAAAGAAAGAAAGGAAGGGACAAAAGGAAGGAGTTGTAGAGGGAAGAGAAAGAAATCACATTTTCAAATTTTGCATATTTGTAATGTATAGATTTTATAAATTTGTGATTTATAAATGTTATGAGTTCAATCAGTTATTGGCTCATTTTTCTTTTCTGTTTACACTTTGATTGGCATATGTTAATTGTTTTTTTTATTGTGAAAATACCGTACAGAGGGGTTACAATTACCTGGGCAAGGTAATGAGTACATTTCTTATCAAGCATTGTAGCCTCCTCCTTTGTTTCCCCTTCCCATCCCTTCCCATCCTCCCCCCGCACCCCCACCCAATCCTCCTGCCCCCCCCACACCAAAGTTGTAAAGTTCATTTTTGACATAACGACTTGTACATCTCATTGTTGCAGTGGGTCCACCTGTATCTCTATTTAAACGATTTGTTTTTTCCCTTCCCCTCCACAAATTATACCAACATCATATACAGTGAAAGCAGGGGTTATACCGTGGGGGAGGGACATACAAAGCAACACAGAAATCATCTTATAAATACGTTAGACACAATAGCAAGAAAGAAAACACATTTGCGTTCCTTATGACATATGTTAACTGTACAAAGGAGTTTCATTGTGCTATTTCATACATGCCCACCCTGATCAAACTTACCCCTCTATCACTCTCCTTTTAATTCCCTTCCCACTTCTTAAAACAATTTCAACACATGTCATTGTGCCATTTCATGCATGAGTATAAAGCACTTCAGCCATATTTGCTTTCCTTCCCCTCCCCACCCCTAGTGGTACCCAGCCCTCTCATAGATCCTGTGTTATATTGCTGCTATTCAATTGTGAGTGAATAGTAACTGTACAAAGGCTTTTCACTGTGGCATATCACACACGTGTATATTCTACCCTAGTCAGATTGACCCTCGCTATTGATCTCTCTTTCCTTCTTCTCCCTACCTCCCTATTATTCAACTACTTTTAAGTGGATGTGAGAGGCAGTGCAACCTGCAGAAAGCAAGCGCCATCCGGTACCGGGGTGGGGGAGGTGGTAAGGGTGGATGGGGTGTGGTTAGTAAGAGCCCTGGGTGCGGATGTTAATATTTATTTTCATAAATATAACTTAAAGGGCTCCCACTGCCTATGCAGCACAGAGCCAAGGGCCTTTTGCTTTTCTGCTGAAGTCTAATTACATTCTTGCTGTTCTGGCTCCCCTGGCCTAGGATAAATTGCTTATAAATTAAAGGGACAATTCCCTTCTTTATAGCATGTGAACCGATGCACGTTTTGAAGGTGTAGGTTGCAGCAAAATAGATATGTTTCGATCTGGAATAACCCAGGCAGACTGTGACTGCCAATTCCATTCCTGTTCCTTTCCATTAGTACGACTCTCATAGCCCATTTTATTTACAAATGAAGCTGGCTTTCTTAAGAACAAGCAATGATGAAAGAGAAAAGTACTTGGTAATTATTCTCGTATGCATATTTAAAATGAAAAAGACTCCTTTAGACCATGAAGAAGATACTGATGACCCGCTGTCAAGCAAATATGCTAGAGTTCTTGAAGAACAGAGATAAGAAGTACTGACCCAATAACATAATTTAACTCAGTTATTTTATGATATACGTTTGCCAGACAGATGGCCTGGTTTAGGGCTCAGTCTGTAATTGTAAAACAGATTTTTTTCTAACTCAAACATATAATCATCTAATATAGAACTTAATCCTTTTATCACCAAGGTCAAATAAATGATATAACTGTCTTTGCCACCATTTATAGCCCTGGGTTTCCAGCTATTTGGATTCATGTTACTGATTGTCCCAGAATGAGTCATGTAAGAACCAAATAAGCTAGACAGTCACACACAGTGAGACCAAAGGAGGAAATTCTTAGGGGAAGAACACAAGGGTGTGCCTCTGATCATATAAAATATTATTTATCAAAATGAACTCCAGGACATGGAAACAAGGGATTTTTTTTGTCTTGTTAGTTCGTTACCTGTCTTTGGGGGAAAAGGGGGCAGAGAAATGGAGGGACATGGGGTGAACCAACGCAGCAGTGCTACTCCCTAGACGTTATGTTGAAAATGAACTATATGAATTGTGGGCAGGGATGGGAGAAGAAAACTGGGAGAGAGCGAGAGAAGGGGTGACATAGTCCAAAAAGAAAGGTACTCCTTACCTGACTTATAAAATTGTAACCCCTGTGTATATCACCTTTCTTTTTTTTTTCTGCTTATGTGGTGCTGAGGAATCGAACCCAGAGCCTCATGCACGCAAGGCAAGCGCTCTACCACTGAGCCACCTTCCCAGCCCCACCTTTCTAATAACAATTCACAAAATTAATTTTATAAAAGAACCAAATAAGCCAGGTGCCATTGGATCACGCCTGTAATCCTAGCCATTCAGGAGAATGAGATTTGAGGTTCCAGGTTCAAAGCCAGCCCGGGCAGAAAAATCCATGAGGCTCTTATCTCCAATGAACCACCAGAAAACCGGAAGTGGCTCAAGTGGTAGAGTGCTAGCCGTGAGCTGTAGAGCTCAGGGACAGCGCCCAAGCCCACAGTTCAAGCACCACCACTGACAAAAAAAAAAATCATCAAGGTATTTTTGAATGCAGTTTTCATTTGGGATTTCCCACAAGCAAACCCTCTAGATAATGATTTGAGTTTGAGTATCTGGGATCCATTGGTGAGAAGGAGTCTGAGCAGCAAAACAGAAGGGAACACAGCCAAGTGTGTGTGTGTGTGTGTGTGTGTGTGTGTGTGTGTGTGTACCAGTATTAGGGCTTGAACTCAGGGCCTGAGCCCTGTCTCTTAGCTTATTTGCTCAAAGTTAGTGCTCTACCACTTGAGTCACAGCTCATCTTCCAGCTTTTTGGTGATTAACTGGAGATAAGAGTCTTAAAGACTTTCCTACCTAGGTTGGCTTTGAACCGTAGTCCTTAGATTTCAGCCTCTTGAGTAGCTAGAGTTACAAGCATGAGCCACCGGTACCTTGCATAAAAGATTTTTGATGTTAGTGTATGATATTAAAAAATAAGATTATAATGGCCATTACACAGTATTTTCCTGAAAAGCTTATTTTCAATTGATTCCAGGGTTTAGCTTTTTCATTATCATCTATATGCCTCAAGTGCCAGATAAAGAACAATGCCAACTCAAGCAGGAATGAGAACTTTAACCTAAAAGCTCACAAGCAATGTTGTTCAATGTATTGAGGTGTATGATATATTTGCTAGAGAGCATTTGATTTAATCCACTTTGGAACTTGCTTTCATGTCCGCTTTGTTGTGTGTACTTTCTTCCTGTCTTCTAGCTGCTCATCCTTGTCAAGAGTCTGTAGTTTATATCGTCCGTATCAGCAGCCAGCTGATGTGAAACTAACCACTCGTTATCCTAAACTGGCTCAAATGAGAGTTGACAAAATGAAAAAAGGTTATGTAAAGGATAAGGAAGCAAAGATGTATGCAAAGACTGTAAGTTTCACTTTCATTAAAGCCATTGTTTTGGACAATATGTTTAAATGCCTCTAATTCTATTTTCGTAAGTAGGGTTTTTCAAATCCACAAGTTCAAGGCCGAAACACCTTTGGTATACTATATACCTTTGATAGTACTCTAACACATATTTTTAAAAATTCTTAAAGGACCAGGTGTGTTAGCACATGACTATAATTTCTCAGCTACCTACTTGTGAGGATTTCAGTTTGAGGCCAGCCAGGACAAACTGTTAACAAACAAGCCAGGTATGGTGGCTTATACCTGTAATCCTGTCTATACAGGAGGCACAAAGTAGGAGGATCATGGTCCAAGGCCAGTGCTAGGTAAAAACACAAGACCCTATCTGAAAAATAACCATAAAAGTCAGGCACCAATGGCTCACAACTCTAATTCTACCTACTCAGGAGGCTAAGATCGGAGGATCAAGGTTTGAAGCCAGCCCAGGCAGGAAAGTCAGTGAGACCCTTCTCTCCAATTAACTACAAAATAGCCAGAAGTAAGCTGTGACTCAAGTGGTAGAACCCTTGCCTTGAGGAAAAGAAGCTTAGGGACAGTGCCCCCGCCCAGAGTTCAAGCCCAGGACTGGCAAAAAAAAAAAAAAAATGATGAGTTAATTAATTTTATTCAATTTTTACATTTTAACCAATATCTGAACAGGCCATACTTAGCCAAAATAGATACATACATATATATAGTAATATAAGCCAAATATAAAGCACTTTCTGCTTTTATTTATCATTCCACCTAGGAGCAAAAAACAGTCAAACCAAGTGAAAAACCAATAGTAATAGGAACGACAGTCTTCTCCACGCCATCTTTTGATATTGTGAAAGTTGAAAGATCCACTTCAGACGAATCAGAACAAGAAGAAAATAAGTTATTTAAGTGGTATCAAGACTTGAGTGTTCATCGGAGTTCATTATTGTAAGGTCCGCCCGGGGCCATGGCACCTCCCTGCTCCTAAGTCTACGCTCAATACCTGCACTACCTAGGTAACTGGCACACCTGGAGGCAGTTACCCCCCCCTTTCCCTGCCAGTGTGGCCACACCTTCCCTCATCTAGCCACACCCTCTCCTCCACCCCTTACCTTGATAACCCCAAGCTAAGCAGCTCTGCACCTCTTTGGCCATGCGTCTCCAACAATGCACAGCTGGGCAGCAGTTCGGAATAAAGTTCTCTATCCTATCTCATTACCGCATGGTGTTCTCTTCTTTGGCTACCTAATTTAATCTAACAATTATGATGGATGGTATAGAGCTAATTGACAGAAAATCAAAAAATGTTTACCATGGGCTGGGAAGGTGGCTCAGTGGTAGAGTGCTTGCCTTGCATGCCTGAGGCCCTGAGTTCGATTCGTCAGCACCACATAAGCAAAAAGAAAAAAGCCGGAAGTGGCGCTGTGGCTCAAGTGGTAGAGCACTAGCCTTGAGCTGAAGAGCTGAGGGACAGTGCCCAAGCCCAGAGTTCAAGCCCCATGACCAGACCCCCCCAAAAAAAATGTTTACCAAAATGCTTACTTGTGTATAAAGGACAGATAAAAATATCCTTTTAACCAAATCCATGACATATTTGTAAGCTCTTTTGTATTACCAGAGGTGCAAATATTTGGTGGGCAGTACTAGGATTTGAACTCAGGATCTCAAGCTTGCTAAGCTGGTGCTCTACCAATTGTGCCATGCCCTGCTTTTTGCTGGTTATTTTGGAGATGGAGTCTAACAACTTTTCCTGCTAGGCTGGTCTCAAACCTCAATCTTCCAGATTTTAGTCTACTGAGTAACTAGAATTATAGATATAAGCCATCAATGTGCAGTTAGGTGTCACTTTTTTGTTTACTGACAAGACTTTATTGTGATCAGTAACTTCTATTAGGTATCTACAAACTAGATACCATGAGCCAGTGGCTCATGCATGTAATCCTAGCTCTTAGGAAGCAGAGATCTGAGGATCACAGCTCAAAGCCAGCCAGGGCAGGAAACTCCATGAGATTCTTATCTCCAATAAACTACTCTAAAAGGCTGGAAGTGGCATTTGTGGCTCAAGTGGTAGAGCACTTGCCTTGAGCAAAAAAAGCTTAGGGACAGTGCCCAGGCCCAGAGTTCAAGCCCCAGTCTTGGCAAAAAAAAAAAAAGGGGGGGGCTGGGAAGGTGGCTTAGTGGTAGAGCACTTGCCTTGCATGCATGAGGCCCTGGGTTCGATTCCTCAGCACCACATAAGCAGAAAAAGAAAAAAGCCGGAAGTGGCGCTGTGGCTCAAGTGGTAGAGCACTAGCCTTGAGCTGAAGAGCTGAGGGACAGCGCCCAGGCCCAGAGTTCAGGCCCCACGACCGGACCCCCCTCCCCCCAAAAAAGATGATGAGTTTTTTTTCTTATTTTAACAAATATCTGAACAGACCATACTTAGCAAAAATATCTGAATTCACATCATGAAAGGCATTTCTTGGTATAGCCCCCAGCTTGTGAATGACCTATTCTAAATTATAATAAAAATGACCTCGGATTTGTTCCTACAATAGGCATGGTGCAGCATACTTATTATTAGTGAACATGAGAAGCACCTGGAGCCAGAGCTCTGCAGCTGCTGTAATACTGTATTTTGGATAGTTTTCGAATATATACATGGCTTTGAGTCATATCTACCAATTTCCTTTTGAATTGGTGAATTCACATTTTGAGTACAGTGCAAATTATTGGTTTCTTCTGTGATGCAGGCTACTGAATGTGTAGCAAATCTTACCAGAGACTGTGGCAAGTAAACAGAGTTCAGTTATTGAACTTTTTTTTGTCAGTTATGTGGCTTGAACTCTGGGCCTGGGCACTGTCCCTGAGCCACTTTGTGCTCAAGGCTAGCGCTCTACCACTTGAGCCACGGTACCACTTCCCAGTTTTGTGTTGTTGTTTGTTTGTTTTTTGGGTTTTTTTGGAGTGGTTAATTAAGATAGGAGTCTCACGGGGACTTTTCTGCCTGGGCTGGCTTCGAACTGAGATCCTCAGATCTCAACCTCCTGAGTAACTAGGATAACAGGCGTGAGCTACCAGTGCCGGGCTAGTTATCCAACTTTTAAAAATATAATTTTAAAAAGTTGCTTAACATTGTAGACACAGAGGTTGACTCTGATATAACTCAGGCACAGCTGCTTATAAAATAATTTTATCCTCTACTAAAATCATTGATTAGCTGATGGAGAATATTGAAGCTAATGTGTATGATTCCCACTAGGAAGTATTTAACATAGGCATGTACTCTTTAATATGAATATAGACTCCTTTGGTATCCAATCAAGAAGAATACTCTTGTTTCAAAGTGTCCTAGATCCATGGTTGAATAGGAAAACACTTGTGTGGCCCCAGGAGTCACACAAATTCTCCTCCATTAATTTGTGAAATAGTCCCTCATCTGATCAATTGAATGTCAGTCTCAGTCAGCTGTAGTGCATTATACATGTAACAACAACAAAAAAAACCTAAGCAAATGTCAGGTAGCAAGATAAGTAAAAAGTTGAAGAAAATGGGCATATTCTACTTTTCAGGGCACCCACGTCTCATAGCTCATTAGCTATCATTTTTTAATTTTTTAATTGTGAAAATACCATACAGAGGGGTTACAATTACATGGGCAAGGTAATGAGCACATTTCTTACCAAACATTGTTGCCTCCTCCTTTGTTTCCCCTTCCCATCCCTGCCCATCTCTATCTCTTCTCCCACGTCCCCCCCGCTCCCTGCACCAAAGTTGTAAAGTTTGTTTTTCAACATAACGTCTTGTACATCTCATTGTTGCAATAGGTCCGCCTGTGTCACTATTTAAACAATGTGTTTTTTTCCCTTCCCCTCCCCAAATTATACCAACATCAAATACAGTGAAAATAGCAAGAAAGAAAAACCATCTGAGTCCTTCTCTTGGGGTTCATCATTTCAACTAACATCAACTTATCTGACCTTTTCTGCTTGTCTCAGACATATACTAGTTATTGCAAATAAGGGAAACCATGGGACCTATGTTTCTTTGGGCCTGGCTTACTTCACTTAATAGAATTTTTTCCAAGTCTTTCCATTTCCTAACAAATGGGGCAATGTCATTCTTTCTGATGGAGGCATATTGTTATAATAAAGGTGATGGACAGAGGGGTTACACTTAGATAAGTCAGATTAAGAGTATGTTTCTTTTTGTACAATGTCACCCCTTCCCTCGCTCTCTCCCAAATTTTCTCTTCCACCTCTACCACACTTGTATAGCTCATTTTCAACTTAGTATCCAGCGAGTAGCATTGCTTCATTTGTTCACCCTTTGTCTACCCCCCTTTCCATGCCTCCCATGGAGTTATCATTTTGTCTCATTGTAACACACATTAAACAGCATAACCACCTCACAGAAAATCCCATTAAAAGCAGAATTACACATAAGTCCCATCACCACACTATGACAACAGTTTTCATTTACTTATAGCTTTCTTTGTGTGTGTGTGTGTGTGTGTGTCTGTGTGTGTCTGTGTGTCTGTGTCTGTGTGTCTGTGTCTGTGTGTGTTATCAGTGACTGAACCCAGGGCCCTATGCATGCTAGGAAAGCATCTGCCACTGAGCTACATTGATTTCCATTTCTTTGACCTTACTGGCCTTTGCAAGTCTGACCTTATTCAGATGTCTCAATTCCAACCCCCTACTTTCCCTAAGCCCAAGATCTTGTCTTCCACATATATGAGGCCATTGATACCCCCAACTTGAGGTTGCGAGTGTTAGCAAATGTGTTCAGGGCATCCGTTGCATACCACCCTTGCTAATTTATAGCTTCTCTTTTGAACGTCTGAGGATTTTCCTTATAAGCCCAACTGTGCCTTTTTTTCCTAGTCCTGGGGCTTGAACTCAGGGCCTGGGCACCATCCCCAAGCCTCTCTGTGCTCAAGGCCAGCACTCTACCACTTGAACCACAGCACCACTTCCAGCTTTTTTCTGTGTAGTGGTACTAAGGAATCAAACCCAAGGTTTCATGCTAGGCAAGCACTCTACCATTAAGCCACATTCCCAGCCCCACCAACTGTGCCTTTTAAAAGACTTTTTTTGCATTGTTAACTAAGATAGGTATAACAATTTAAAGACATAAGCTGGGTGCTGGTGGTACACGCCTGTAATCCTAGCTACTCAGAAGGCTGAGATCAGAGGATTGCAGTAAGCCAGTTTGGGCAAGAAAGTCCACCATCTGACTGTTATCACCAATTAACCACCAAAAAGCTGGAAGTGGAGCTATGGCACACATAATAGGGTGCTAGCCTTGATCACAAATACTCAGGGATAGTACCTGGCTCTAAGTTCAAGTCCCAGAACCAGCAGGAAAAAAAAAGAAAAAAGATAAACAAATCCAAAAGTGGAGCTATGGCTCAAGAGGTAGAGTGCTAACCTTGAGCATAAAAGCTCAAGGGACAGTGCCCAGGCCCTGAATTCAAACCCTAGGATTGGCACTCCCCTGTAAAAAAATAAAATCCGCTGTATTTTTGCTTATTGCTTTCTGGTTCTGTGAGTCTTGAAGTAAGATAATCTTTCAGAATGATCAGTCTGTTATTTTCTCATGAGCCAGAGTATCCATTGTCACTTCATTCTGTTCAATTTTATGTCTCTACCATTTTCTATACAGCCGTCTGTATGCATTTCACATTGCTTTCAGCCATTCTTTCTGTGAGCGCTGAGGACTAAACTGATGATCATTCATCCACTTCGGAGGTAGAGAGCTGTAATACAGAATGGGCTTTATCAGCAACTCGCTTCTCCCCTTGCCTCTCCCCCTCCCTCCATCTCTCTCCACTTTTCACTTACAGAGGGATTAGAAAGATTCTTCTCCTTAAAGATTTTATTGTGAGGTGAGATCTAATTTGAAGAATTTAGAAAGAAGGTGCTGCTTGAGAAGGTAAGACGAAAGGTGCAGGGAGGAAATCTGTTGAAG